AGAGGAAGAGAGAGGGATAGAGAGTTAGAAACATCGATGAAAGAGAAACATCGATCAGCTGCCTCTTGCACACCCCCTACTGGGGATGTGCCTGCAACCAAGGTACATGCCCTTGACCGGAATCGAACCTGGGACCTTTCAGTCCGCAGGCCGACGCTCTATCCATAGAGCCAAACTGGTTTCGGCACGGGTTCATACTTTTGAAAAAAGAAAACAGCCGAGGATTCCATCAGCATTTTGAAGTAAGCCACTTCATAAAGTCCAAATAACCTAAAAACTATCATAATTTTTGGTTAGTAATAGTCATAATTTCACCTTAGTTTTATACTGTGCTCTGTTGTTCTGAAGAGGCTTTCTAACATAACAAATAAGAGAGTATTTCCAAATGTACAAAGTCTTGTGAGAGTCCAAGCACAAATTACTGCATTTGTTATATATTTCCACACTACTGAGGGAGATGGGTAGATCTAATTCCATCTTCACAGATGAGGGATAAACACAGGAGGACCAACATTTCAGCAGAGTGCGATGATGATGGTGGTATGAAGAGTGGGGGTTCGCATGGCCACACAGAGGGGGCACCTGGTCTACCAGTGGGTGAGGTGATCAAAGAAGATTTTTCGAGAAGAGATGAGAGTTGGGGGGTGGTGAGTGAAGGGCAGGTCTTTCCAGGCAGATAGAGAGGCACAGAGTGTATCTGAAGAAAGAGGGAGAGTGAAGAGTGGGTATCTGTTAGTTGGGATGAGAATTGAGGGTTTCCTACTGGAAAGCCCTCAGAGCTCCAGCACATGAAATGGACGAGAACTCATCCCTAAGGCCTCCTGTCTTCTGCCTTTAGGCCTTCATACACCTCTGCCTTTGCAAGATGAAGCTCTTTTCTGTCCTCTGTGTGTGGACCACAGGGCCTGTGCACCCTTTCTGTGAAAACGGCGAAAAGAGGAGAAAGAGACGAGAAATCAAGTTGTTGAGACCTGAGAGGTGCCGGGGATGGGAGGTTCCTAAATTGCAGTCGGCTTTAAGTCCTACAAGGGTTGCTCATGGCGCTATCTGAAGTCACTCTCTGTAACTCTTCTGTTTTGAGAGACACATGATTGAGGCATCCCTCCAGGTAGCCATTTGTGAAATATCACTGAAATCCTGCTTCTGTTTCTCACGCGGTAACAACCCTTTAGGAGAAATCCCACTGAACTCAAGCTCATTCACCTTCCACACTGATGATGCGGCCCAGGGCGGCTCTATCTCGGGCACATGTGACACACCGTCTGAAGATGGTCTGTCATGTCTATATAGGGTATCGCTCTAGCCTGGACCGGAGCTCCTCCCCGCCCTCCTCTCCCAGCTCCATATTTAGCATCTGCTAAAGGCTACGCATGTCATCATATAGCTCTTCCGTGCTCCTGCTACGGAATCATGCAGAGGTTTGTTCTTATAGCCACTGTGGCAGGCAATAAAGGTTTCTCCTCTGGCTTTAGTTTCAATTGAACCACAGGGAAAGCTGGTCTTATTCAACCACTTTACTGTTCGGGAAACCGAGGCCCGGAGAGCTGGCTTGGTGAGCCTCTGAGTACCAGATGGGCTGGGGGGTGAAGGTCACTTGACTGAACAGAGTCTTTTTCTCCCATCTGACTCTTTGGAGCTCTCTAGATGGCAAAGCTCAGACAGAATTTCTTTGTTTATGTATAGATATATTTTTATACTATAAAGATACCCCCCCCCCTTTTTTGTAGTCATAACTGGATATAAGATATACAGAGTATCTTTTGCAGGAAAAATACTCTTTAGAGCTACTTCAAAGTTCCCACTTATTAATAATTATCACTATGTTTATTTTATTATTTTAAAAAATATATATTTTATTGATTTTTTACAGAGAGGAAGAGAGAGGGACAGACAGTTAGAAACATCGATGAGAGAGAAACACCGATCAGCTGCCTCGTGCACACTCCCCACTGGGGATGTGCCCACAACCATTGACCGGAATCGAACTCGAGACCTTTCAGTCTGCAGGCCGACACTCTATCCACTGAGCCAACCAGTTTCAGCAATTATCACTATGTTTAGTAATTATTATCTAACAGTGATATTAATAAGAAATACTTGTTGTGTGTTTGCTATGTGTTGACTATGTACATATAGTATGTTTACATTACGCACTATGCTAAGGAATTTATACATCTAAGCACATAATACTCTCAACAACTGGTGATGTTGGTGCTATTACATTGATTTTACAGAGGAGGGAAACTGAGGCTGAGGTGGGTTAAGAATGTCCCTTAAGGTTGTCACACAAGTTTGGGCAGCCCAGATTCAACACCAGATCTACCCGACTTCGGAGCCCGTGTTCTTAACAATGTTGTCTCGTCAACTTCTTTTTGCAGATATTTAGTCAGGAAATTTGGCTTTTACTGAACCTCATTAGAGAGATTTTATTTGATAACCAAAAGTCTGGTGCATGTCCATTTTTCCTAGTTCTGGTCCTACTACATTGGGATCAGAATAAAGCTTAAAAAATGCCTTAACAGGTCTTAGATTTAACTAGGTAACAGGTGTATGTGCGTGCGAGCGTGCGTGCGTGCGTGCGTGAGTGCGTGTGTGTGCGTGCGTGTGCGTGTAAAATGTATTTAAGCCATCAGTAAGTCTAAGGATCTGAGGTTTGAGACCGATGGAGCCCAAGGAGACTTTGCTCCAAGGTCTGGAGACACAGATGTCCAGGACCATCCTCCATGACAGCGACCCACGATGGCCCTCAGATTGAATCAGCTGAACCTTGCACATCCTGGCCCTGTGCCATGGACACTCGGTGTTTGGCATTTTAAATAAATAGTAGTGCAAATTGGTCACATGATGGCTCTCTATAGATCCCAGATGCCAGGTGCTGTGCTGAGCCAGACTCTCCACATGCTGAATTCTTACAATAGTTACACGAAAAAGGCACTTTCTTCTTCTCATTTTCTATGAAAAACAAAACAAAGCAAAACAAAAAACAAGACTCAGAGGGGTTAAGTAAGTTAACCTCTTAAGTTAAGTAACTTAACTTAATCAAGAATTTATTTGATCTTTTCATGAAACTCAGCTTTTGTGTGGTTAAAAAAAAAGTGAATACATGAAAATCATGAGTTATTTGATTAGCTCATTTGCAAAGGCTATTTTATCTAATTAAACCAACAGAGACCGAGGGTTGGCAAGGATAAAAATGTCTTGGAGCTGAAACCAGTTTGGCTCATTGGATAGAGCGTCTGCCTGGGGACTGAAGGGTCCCGGGTTCAATTCTGGTCAAGGGCATGTACCTTGGTTGCGGGCACATCCCCAGTGTGGGGGGTGCAAGAGGCAGCTGTTCGATGTTTCTCTCTCATCGATGTTTCTAACTCTCTGTTCCTCTCTTCCTCTTTGTGAAAAATCAATAAAAAATATATTTTTTAAAAAATGTCTTGGAGGTGGATGGCAGGATTTAGAGGAGTGACCTTTAAAAGCTGAAGCAGACCTGCAGGTTGGCTTTACATTGCTTTGCGTGTGACATGTCAGGAAGATCCCCGGCAGGGAGTTTGTAAGCCTGGATTGTATTCATAAGCTGTACTTTGGATTTCGGTCTGAAAGACCTTTCCTTTGTCTGAGGCAGGGCTGGCCTGGTGATGATGTCCCTTGGCAAATAGGTCACTGTCTCCACTGCTGGTCTCATCCCCGGGGACTCGCTCACCTGCAGTGAATGAGGATTTATTTGATCTTTTCATGAAATTCAGATTCTGTCTTATTTTATGCAGTCTTGTTGAAGTGAGAGGCACTGAATGTGATTACTTTTCAGCAAGTTATTTTGTTTAACCAGGGGCCTATCGGAGTTCTGATATAGAGGTAGCTATCCAACAATGTTGAAAGCAATGCACTTGTGTGCATATAAGCATAACCCGTGGACACACAATGGGGTGGTGAGGGCCTGGGGTTGAGACGGGAGCACGAGCTGGCTGGAAGAGTTTAATCGGGGAAAAAGGAGGACCTATGTAATACTTTCAACAATAAAGTTAAAAAAAACAAACACGCACACACACAAAAACCCCCACAAAAAACAACACACCACATTGAAAGAAAGAAATAATTTAACCCTCACATCTCTGAGGAGCAGCTCCTAAATTGATCATAACGGTGCAGATGTGCAAAATGAGGCTCGGAGACCAAGCAGTGCCTGCTCCAAGCCATGTTGCTGTGTAAGTGATGAAGTCTTAGCTCAGATGCAGAAACGCAAGGACAGTGCCCTTTCCATTAGAACAGTAGCCACTTTTTTGGGGGGGAAAAAAACAAAACAAAATTCAAGGGGGGAAAAAACACACACAGCAAATTTTTAGAGTTCTGGTCATTTCTTTTCTCTGACCTCAACACACATTCCCACATAAACCACGGACTGGCTGGTTAATCCATCAGTGAAAGGGAGTGCTGGTGATGCCTCGGCCCATTACCGGCCTCTCCCTGCAGTTCCCGAAGCGGCTGGGATCCATTAGAAACTGAAGCGGGAGAGCGCTGCCAGCTGCCTTCCCTGCTTCTTGGGGCGGAAGCCAGAGAGAGAGAGAGAGAGAGAGAGAGAGAGAGCGAGAGAGAGAGCGAGAGAGAGCTGTTTGAAAACGGCTCATTCACACACCAGGTTGCTGTCGAGGTCTTTTTCATGTTATGATCAGAGCAGTTGCTGGTGTTTTTTTGTTTTTGTTTTTTTTATCACTAGGCTGATTTTTCGAGATAAAATCAGCTTCTGCTTCTTGACTGGGTGGAGCTGCGGGTGCATGAGCTGGGGATAAGCAGATCCAAGCCCTCTTTGCTGGGAAGAGTGGGTTAGGCGAGTCGGGGAGGGCAGCTCCACTGAGGTGGGCCCCACGTTGAACCCGCTCGCCAGGAAGCAAGGGCCCAGTCTCATCCAAAAAGGAAAAAGAAAGACTCAATGTTCCCTCTTCTCTTTCTGTTCCAGCTGAAGACCAGACTCTGGGGCTTTTCGAAGTAGACCGAGGTCTCTCTCGGGTGCATGGAGAGGAGTAGCGCTCTGCAGGCTGCTGTTGGAGACTCTGGGACCACAGACCCATCCCGTGTTTATTCCCTGCGTTGGATGGCATTGGCCTCGGCCACCCAAGGGTTCTGAACGCGTAAGGAGGGATCCAAGCTGGGAAGATGCTGAGCTCCATCAAGTGTGTGCTGGTGGGGGACTCCGCCGTGGGGAAGACCTCCCTGTTGGTGCGCTTCACCTCCGAGACCTTCCCAGAGGCCTACAAGCCCACGGTGTACGAGAACACGGGTGTGGACGTCTTCATGGACGGCATGCAGATCAGCCTGGGCCTCTGGGACACCGCCGGCAACGATGCCTTCAAAAGCATCCGCCCCCTGTCCTACCAGCAGGCCGACGTGGTGCTGATGTGCTACTCCGTGGCCAACCACAACTCTTTCCTGAACCTGAAGAACAAGTGGATTGGCGAGATCAGGAGCCACTTGCCCTGTACTCCCGTGCTGGTGGTGGCCACCCAGACGGACCAGCGGGAGGTGGGGACCCACAGGGCCTCCTGCATCAGTGCCATTGATGGGAAGCGACTAGCCCAGGACGTGAGAGCTAAGGGCTACCTGGAGTGCTCGGCCCTGAGCAACCGGGGGGTCCAGCAGGTGTTTGAGTGTGCCGTCCGGACTGCCGTCAACCAGGCCAGGAGACGCAACAGGAGGAAGCTCTTCTCCATTAATGAGTGCAAGATCTTCTAACCCCCAAGAGACTTCACCCAACATGCATTTACTCACCCGCCTCAAAGACTAATGGGCGCAGGGAGAGCCAACAGTAAGGGTGGGTGCTCTTCCCGGGTACCTCCCGGGCAGTGTGTGCTCTGTTGATGGGACTTGGTCGCTGGTGGTTTTATTAAGTACACTCTGCAAACAGACTCCTCATCCTGGCCAACGAGGCAGTCTCTTGAGAAGCTGGAACGAATATTCTATCTCTGGTTAAGAAACTAAAAAGGTCCCCATAATTTTGGACAGGGAAGTCGAGTTTTCCAAAGAATTCTATATTTAAAGACATGTTTTATTTAAGTGGTAACCAAGTGTAGAGCTCTTGTACATAATTAGTTTTCGTGCTTGGGAAGTCTTTTCCTACAGACTCACAAACACACTCCGGTGTATGTGTGTGTGTGTGTGACATGACCTTACAGGACTCCGCCGTGTGTTCGGGGTGTTATTTTCACCTGAAGTAGTAAGTTTTGTTGAAGCCACTTGCCTACCTGATTTTGCTAGGTGATCAGATTTGAAAAGGACTGCCAGCCAATCCTTGCTATTAATTCTCCGCCCAGCTGTTAGCCAATTTGTGTATAAAATACATTCGATAACATATGCTACTTTAATACTGCCTAATGAGTTTAACAGTTACCCGTCTGTTTTCCTGTAATTATATGTAAAAAAGGGTTTCTTATTTATGGTACTACCTTTCACTCAATGAACTCCCATGATGCACTAAGTATTCTCTTTTATTTACCAAAACAGATGAAAGGAAAACCGTTTGGGGAGGGAATCTGACTGCCTCCAAGTAATGGCAGCAGAGCTCAGAACAGAATTTAAAAGTCTCCTTTTCCTTTGGGAACCACTGCACTTTGCCTGGGTTTTCCGACACTGGCCCCCCCTGGCTGGCTGCAGGCCTTGTGAGTGAGAGCAGGCTCAGCGTTCTGCATGCTGGTAATCTGGGGAATTGGTTACTTGAGCTCTTAACTGACCTGGAAGGGCAACTATAATTTATTAATTTTAGGATGTAATCAGAGTAATGGCTAAGGTGTCTATGTACATATGTGTGTGTGTGTGTATAAGGGAACACAGGTACAACTTATAGCTTTTCCTATTTCATCCATGTGAAGCACCAGAGTTAAAACAAAAACAAAGACAAAACAAAAGCCCCACAAATTCCAAGTACAGGGAACAGGAGAACTGTATAGCCAATTTTCAGATAAAATCTTATCAGGGAAAATACTGAATGATGACTCCGCCTTAAACCTCATTCTATCTAAAAAGCTTCAAAAACAATGGTATCAATCATCTGTTAACGTTGAGAACAGAGACCATGTAACTCAAGGAAGAAATTGCAAATGCTGGCACCGGGTACCTCATTCACTCACCTAACCCAATAAAACTCAGAACCACTCTGTACCACGTTTGTTAAAGTACATCGTTGTTATGTTATAATGTGGCCATTAGATACAAATGGTAAGGCACTTACTTGGCATAAATGACTATGATTAAACTTATGTTGACATAAACCAAGCCAATTGTTGAGTTTCCTTATGTGGTCAGGTCTTGATAGCCATAATCGGTGTTAAAAATCAAATGTGTGCTCATCTCCACACTTTCCTCTCTCTCATCCACATCCAGTAAAAGGCCTGGAAGCTGGATCTTAAGTCTTTGGGGCCGAGGCTCCCTCAGTTTCCAGGGCTGATGTATCTCCTTCCACCCAGCCTTCTCTAGTCCTCCAGTCCTGAGGCTTGTCCTCGCCTCTGTGGCACCTGTGTCCTTTGACTCGAGACCCTTGTATCCAACTCTCGGGATTGCACATCGAGGGTTGGAGGGCTTAAACCTGACCAGGCTGGGGAGGCGATGGGAGCTCACCTTCTTCAATACCCCTGTTGATCCTTGTCTTTTTCATCAACGGTCTTATATAACGCATACAGATTCTCCTTCAGGATCAGTCTTTTTTAAAAATATAGACATTTTATTGATTTTTTTACAGAGAGGAAGGGAGAGGGATAGAGAGTCAGAAACATCGATGAGAGATAAACACCGATCAGCTGCCTCCTGCACACCCTCCACCGGGGATGTGCCCGCAACCAAAGTACATGCCCTTGACCGGAATCGAACCCAGTCTTGAGTTCACAGACCGATGCTCTATCCACTGAGCCAAACTGGTTTCGGCCAGGACCAGCCTTTAGTGGGGAGACTATTTAGCTTGTGAGCAGGAGTGACTTTGTATTCACTACCATGGGCTTTCCCCATGCTATTTTCCTTTGTTGTTGAAGGGAGATGAGGGCACAGGTATCTCCGAAGGGGGGAAGCCCAGGTCCCTGATTCACAGTGAGGGACGAGGAGGTGATTCCATTCGGAAGGAGGAAGGGAAGGCCAGAGAGGGCATAGTCACCTGGACAGACACACCAAGGAGCCTTCTGCCTGCTGGCAGGAGCCACGCCTAAAGGTTCCCTCTGGAACCCTCCCACTGAGAACAAGAATCTGTGTGTACACCTTCCTAGCGATGGGACCTGGTGGAAAATGGAGGCTCACGGGTGTCTGTCTCCCCTACCAGGCTATAAGTTCTTGAAGGCAGAGCTACCTCCCAGGTGTCTCAGTGCCCCCAGAGCCAGCACAAACGTGTTGAATTAGAGAGGGGAAAGGAATTGGGCTGCTGTGTCGCAAAGCGGGTCTGGGAAGCAAGCAGACCCCCACTGGCCTTGCAGGGGTTAAGAAGTGAAAGTGGCCGAAACTGGTTTAGCTCAGTGGACAGAGCTTCAGCCTGCAGACTGAAAGGTCCCGGGTTCGATTCCGGTCAAGGGCAAGTAGCTTGGTTGCGGGCACATCCCCAGTAAGGGGTGTGCAAGAGGCAGCTGATGGATGATTCTCTCTCATCGATGTTTCTAATTCTCTATCCCTCTCTCTTCCTCTCTGTAAAATAAATAAAAAAATAAAAAAATAATTAATAAAATATATTTTTTTTAAAAGGTGAAAGTGGGTCATTTTTGTCGGAATCCATGCAATGCATGTTCTACATGAGTGTACATTTATGTTTACCTGCCTAAGCTCAGGCTCACGTTTCTTGGACTTGCACAGCCTTGCTGTTGGCTAGAGCAGGTTGATTTCTTAACGATTGCAATGCTAAGTATGCTCTTAGTTTACATGAAAGAGTTGATTGGAGTGGTGGAGTTAGCCATCCTCTTCTTTTTCCCCTTTATACCAACTGCATAAATGGGCAGCAGAACCCATGGTGATGAAATCAGGCTGAATGACGAGACGCTTGAAAGTACCCTAACCATTCCAGTTTGCCGGGCGCCTCGAGCGGGCCGGCGCCGTCTCCGCGCTAGAGTGCGCACCGTGTCACCACGTGGTGTGTAGGCGGCGGCTCTATAATGAGCATCCCCCACGGAGGCCTGGCCCACCGACATGACAAGCCCCGGCCGTCCAGCAGCTGAGCGGCGGCGGCAGTGGGACCGGAGCAGGTCTGTCTGTCTCCAAAGCCCTGCTCAGAGCCGCCGTGCCCCACTTCCTCCCAGAGCAGCCCGGCTGCACGGCTTTGCCACATCCGACCTCATGCAGCCTGTCGGCCTCACCCCCACCCGTCAAGTGGCCTGTATTTTAAAGCTACTTTGAGTAACCGATTCCAAGTCTGAACTTAGTCCTCCCCCTTTCTCTCTGGCAATGAGGACAGGACCTCTCTGAGTCACAGAGCACCATATTGGCCAAGGTCCCTGCTGCAGTCCCTGGCTTTTAAACTTTTTATTTAAATACGTTTTTGTTCATTTCAGAGAGGGAGAGAGAGAGGAGAGAGAAAATCGATGATGAGAGAATCATTGATCGGCTGCCTTCTGCACGCCCCACACTGGGGATCGAGCCCGCAGCCCGGGCACGTGCCCTGACCGGGAATCGAATGGTGACCTCCTGGTTCATAAGTTGATGCTCAACCACGGAACCACGCCGGCCGGGCCAGCCCTTGGCTTTTAAATAAACCTTTGTAGGTTGATTACATGTGATCGGCAGAGAGGGTACGCATCATGATTTGATGCTTTAAAAAAAGCTTGAGCCGGAACCGGTTTGGCTCAGTGGTAGAGCGTCGGTCTGCGGACTGAAAGGTCCCAGGTTTGATTCCCGTTGGGGGCACATCCCCGGTGGGGGGTGTGCAGGGGACAGCTGGCCGATGTTTCTCTGTTATCGACCTTCTTAACTCTCTATCTCTCTCCCTTCCTCTCTGTAAAAAATCAATAAAATATATTAAAAAAAAAAAAAAAAAAGCTTGGGAAATATTCTCTTTTTCTTCTCTCACTTTCCTTAACCCTCCCCTCCTCTCAGGTTTCAGGTATTTCCTTTGGATGGGAGAGCAGAGCTGGGTTTTTCTTTTAGGGGGTTAGGACACTTTTAGGGGTTTAGGGCATTTACCCAGCAGGAGGTGTGAGAGGAGGACTCTGGTTTGGCATATTTGCAGGGTGATGACATCTTTGAGTGTCACCAAGAAGGCACTCTTACAGGCCGAGTCAGATCAGAACAACTCCAGGGAGGGTCCTGTTTCTCCTTAAGCCGCCATTGTCCTGATACAGCAAAGACATGGAATCACTGGCTAAGCTCGCAAGCAGTGTTTCGCCAGAAAAGATACAATAAACCATGGAAATTATTCGTGAGTTCATAAATAGTACTTGATTAAGCCTAAAATCTACATTGACTATTTTAGTCGATTCTAAAATACATCCCCTGTCAGCCCAGCTGTCGTGGCTCAGTGGTTGAGCAACGACCTATGAACCGGGAGGTCACGGTTGGATTCCCAGTCAGGGCATGCAGGAGACAGCCAATCAGTGATTTTCTCTCATCATTGATTTTCTCTCTCTCTCTTTTCCTCTCCCTTCCTCTCTGAAATGAAAAAAAATAGGTTTAAAAAATATATCCTGACACGGACTTCATACTTAATGGTAATTAGAGAGCCATAATGAGGGAGTCAAAGGCCACACAGTTGAGACACATTTTAGTCAGAAAGACTGGGTCTTGTGTCTTTCAGCCCCGGCTTCCCTTTCTTAGGACAGAGACAATTCCTGGTTACTCTAAGAATGAATTCAATAACGATTGTGGAAATGCCATATACCTGTAAACTGTTGTTCCAGTGGTGGTGCTGGTAAGTTCTTGGTAGATTCCCATACAGACACATAGGCTGAATACACTAGATCAGATTAGAATATCCTAGAACTGGTGGACCGCATGATGGGATGCAGAAGCAAGCTCTGTTTTTGGCAAGGTTAGGCAGAGTGAGATAAATAAAATGACACACAATCATAGCAACAACTGCATTTGAATGTTCGCTGGTTCCAGAGACTGAACTGGGTTCTTTATATACATCATCTCGTTTTATCCTCAGAACACGTTCATGAGGTGGAGAAGTGGAGGTAGTTCCCTTGTGCAGCTACTTTTCAAAGTGTCCCGATTTCTCCATGTAATTTTGGCATAATTAAACTTGGCCAGCTAACAATCTTGAGATGAATTGTATATGATGTCCATTACTTTTGCTAATTTAGCTAAGAAGCGAGAATGACCCATTAGGCACCAGAGGGGCTTTTTGTGTGAGGTTTTTTTTGTTTGTTTGTTTGTGGGTTTTTTTTGTCATTGTTCCTGAGAAGTCTCAGGTGGGTCATAGGCCCCAGTCCTGACTTGTCTCTGCTGGCTGTCCCTACTCCTCCCCTTTCTATTTTCCACCCTTTCTGCGCCCTCTGTGCCTGGAGGTTAATCCTAAGGACTGCACCACGTGGGACCACTTCCTGGCTGCTATCCACTTGTTTTTGGAAGTCAGAGAGGTAGGAGGAGAGATTAATTGTGTGTGTTTTTTTTTGTCCTACTCATTTTAAAAAAAAAAAATATATATTTTTTATTGATTTTAGAGAGAAAGGGAGAAGGAGAGAGAGATAGAAACATCAATGATGAGAGAGAGAGAATCATTGATCCGCTACCTTCTGCACGCCCTCTACTGGGGATTGAGCCTGCAATGCAGGCATGTGCCCTGACTGGGAATGGAACCATGACCTGTTTCAATGGGTTGATGCTTAATCACTGAGCCACACTGGCCAGGTGGTCCTACACCTTTCCTGCTTGGTGATGCATATCTGTCAATAGCTATGATTTGCTCCATGGGAAAAGCTACAGCTCCTGCTGGACTGCTTCTCTTTTTTGGCTCTAATTTTCCCTGGGCTCTAGGACAGTTATTTCCTCACCTCTCCCATCAGCCCTGGAAGAGATAATGGCTTCCTGCTGGTGCTACAGCAACATCCCTCCTGTGGTCCCTCGCCCAGACCTCTACCAGTAGTGCCTTTGTTCAAATCTCTTCATCTGAACCATCTAGAATAAATTTGGTTTCATATAGGATTCTGGCTGATACACTCACTAAATACTAAAAGTAGTCTCTATGTTCTGGCACTAAGTGATTGATGAAATTTCCACTGAAGGAATCGGCTTGCCAATCTGGGTAACTGCCCTGTTCTAGCTTCAAAACCCGGAAAATATCACTCTCGATAGCTATTTGCTTGG